CCCCAAAACCCCAAAACCCCAAAACCCCAAAACCCCATTTTAACACTCAGATATTGAAAGGAACTTTATGATGCTTTATAGACTCCTTGATGCTTTTAACTTGTCGAAACCATTAACAGAGAGCCCTATAGAAATTTAGAGATGATCTGAGGATCAAGAAGATGATAGTAAGGCATCTGACAAAAATAGATGACGAGCAATGATGGAAGTGTATGTTTGGAGAAGGAATCTTAAAAATTAGAAAACTTTATTATGAATCTTACTTCATGATGCTATTAGTTCCATCTCGAGGTGATGTTATAGAGTTTACCCTTTTTATCCTGCTTCTTGTAGACAGGGGTATAAATTGGCAATTGAGATGGATCTCTATATCCATTCAAAGTGTAGTTTTGAGGTGTAGTCTGGCTTTGATTTTGTGCTAGTTTATGAACCTCAATCTGTTTAGTCCATTTTTCAAATTCTAAGTCAATCAAGTTCAGAGATGGCTGAACCTGAAAGAAATTTCTATAAAAATTCACTATAGGTTATACCTTTCTACAAGTCTTTCTCTCTTATTTCTGAAGGATTCTGTGCCGCTGAAGGAACTGTTTATTCCCTTGAGAGCGTTGCTTTGAATCATTCATGTTTACAAGCTCAAAAATGTGCGACTTTATATTTCTTCTAGGCTTATGAGCAGTTTTAGGAGGGACTATTTCTCTCTTAATTTTGATATTCTCTTCAGATTTAGCTTTCCTTTTAGACATCTTAGGCTTCTTGTATATATTTAATATACTTTTGATTCATCTATTTTTCTCAATCCCAAATCTTGTTGCTCTTAAATAATTCTTTATAGTTCGATGATTTTGATCTCTTCTTGACTTCATTTGCATAATATGTAAAGTCTTCATCAATATCTTTATTTATATCATTCTAGAAGTAAAACCTAGGACTACCATTAGATAAATAATCTCTGAGGACTTGACATCCGATGGGTTATCACTTCTGCTAAGAATCTTCGCCTTGAACAAGTCGTAGGATATCTTTCCATTCATGAGGTCTCGGATCTCCATAATATTTGCCTTATTTTTAAAGATCTCGAGTTCTTTGTATCTAAAGATATCGGATAAATGTACCTTTTGGGGTTAGAGGTGCTGAACCTGGGATCTCTACCTCAGAGACTACTGTATAGCTTGTGGACAGAGATGACTTCTAGGGTCTTCTCAAGTTCATTTCCTGAGAGAATTTTACTATTTGAGTCTTTTCTTATCAATAGAAGCTATTTATGTTAATTGGAACTTACTTTCTGGACTGTAGCAGTGGGATTCATCTAAAGATCGATCTATGAATGATTCACATTGGTTGAGAGAGAAAATTACCTGAGTGACACTGAGACGCTATACTTTGACCTTCAGTTTCAGGGATATTGCTGGTAGAAGGAATGTTGCTGGTTGAAGGAATATTTAAAAAATTAGACACAATTTTCTTATTAGATCTCCTGCTTGGTTCTTTATTTGATAAGGATAATTTGTCTATATTAATTTTATTTGACAGCTTGTAGTCATTTTCGGTAGGTACGAATGTCTCTAAGTTAGCCATCATAGCTTTATTGTCTAAAGAGTCATGCATTTCCCTGTAACTGGTTTTACTCTGCATGTCTGTATAAGAGGTGAGTGATGAAGAAACAAATAGATTCGATTTTTTATCTGTTAAGTCACATACTTTTCAGATCTATTTCTTTTTGTGTTGGAAGTTTATTTGAAAAATCGTTATATTTTATTGAAGCACCTCTCAACTTTCTCTATTTATAAGCCTCATTAGACTTAAACGAACAACCGCAAACTCTAAAATCCAAATACTTTCACTCACTTTTTTATACCTATCGACACTTCTGAGCCTATCTCCACTACACCCTCCACTATACCCTCCACTATCTCGACCTATCCTCTGCTTCATGGTCTTGACATAAAACCCCTCTCTGACCTTCTTCAGTCCCTTCTTTCACTTCAACCTCGCTTTCGCAATCCTCCCAAAATTACACATAACTTCGTCATTTAATTTTGTTAAAGTCCCAGACCTGCCATGATGCGGGACAGAGAGGATTCCCAAGTGACTCATTTTTTTTAGAAATTTAATTTATAGATGAGGGAAGTGGGAGGGGTTTTGGGGTTTTGGGGTTTTGGGGTTTTGGGGTTTTGGGG